AAACGTCACGAATGATCGTAACTATAAGTAAGAAATTTTTATTTAATTAAAGAGAAAATTGATTTCGTTTGCTATTATTTACCAAGCTGTAGCTAAAAATCTTCCAGATGGATGAAATTTTACTTTTGATACATGAAATGGGGCACGACCTTAATGAAAACGATAAAAGATACTTCGATTATTTTGTTTTTTAAATTAAATTTAAAAAACCTTCAATTTCAGCAATAGGTTCATCACTTTGAAGATTCCATAATTTAACACTTCCATCAAATGAACTAGATGCTAAATTAATCATTGCTGGATCTTGTGTTAATGTTGATTGAGGATGTCAACTAATACAACAAGCATTTGTTGTATGATCACGGAATGTTCGGACATGTTTACAATCTGATATTGTCCAAAGTTTGCATAGACCACTCCTGAAATTAAACAAAAATATCTATCAAAATAAGATTAAAATTTAGAATTTATATATGTAATCTATACTATTACTTATTACGATCTTATTTACTGTACATTCACAATTCAGAAGAATATTATTTCATATAAAATTCGATTATTTTCAAAATGTTCAATTGAGAGGAGACTTTTCTCGAATAATTCTCTTTAGAAAATTGTCAGTCTTTGTCTTTCTTCAAATGAATAATTATTGAATAAGTGAAGGATGTGGGTGTGGGTGTTGTCTTCTCTTTATTCGCCCACACCCCACATCCACACCCACACCCTAGTTAGTTCGATTATAATCGATTTAGAATATTTTGAAAAATCGTCTATCATCGTAAGAATGGAAATAATCGATTAAATACTGATTTTGTTATGATTATTACTGAAATTATTGATTAAAATCGTATGATTATAATCGATTTTGACCTCTCTAAAGCTGATTTTTTTAATAGTTTTTTTTACATAGGTGTTATGAATTTGAGACTTGTTCGCACGCAAATTAGCTTTATTTGAAAAGACGAATCTTATCTTGTACGAAGATTTATACCTTTATTAGCGAGAATAA